TAAATCACCACAAGATTAACCAGCATATTCTTCATTGTTTTTTCTCAAATAAGTTAATTCTTGTACATTCGGTCGCATGGTGTTGTAAGTGTGTTTTTCCAAAGTGGAAGCCGCGAAGTTCTTTCTTAGGGAGCAAAAAAAAAAAAAAAAACCTCAAATACAAATGCTGGATTAGTTTTAATTCTAAAAAAACAATAAGCCGATAACAAATTATGTTGAATTAATTAAATGATACAGTATGTCGAAAAGAGATGTTTTTACTACCCCACTGTTCTATTAGGCAAACAAGTTTGGACATAAAATCATTTAAGGGTGAAAATAGAAATAAAAACACGCCTCCATCCTTATAATACGATACAGTATAATCTAAATTAATGTCATCATGTGCCTTGTGGTGTTTCCACAATACCTTTCCTTAGTCCTGTCGTTACAGCACACTAGAAGTCTTCCTCAATTACTTCTAAACATTGTTCTAACACCAAAACTTTCAGGGATATAGCTAGAGAAAAATACAACACGTTGGAATGAATGATCCTTGATGTTGATTCACCACCAAATCATCCACAGATATATTTAGGTCAAGAAGATGATTTTCTGGAACAAATGATTTTTGCCGTTGATCCACCAAAACATCCACGGAGAAATTTAGGAAAAAAATATAACACACTGAAATTAATTATGTTTGATGTTGATACGCCACCAAAATAGGCACGGGGAAACTTAGAGGGAAATGACAACATATTGGAATGAGGGATCTTTGCCGTTGATCCACCGCCAAAACATCAACGGAGAAACATAGAGCAAGAAGACAACACACTGAAATGGATTATTTTTAACGCTAATCCACTACCCAAAACATCCTCGATGAAACTTAGAGGAAAAAGACATTGACCTACAACCAAGGAAATAATTAGGACAAGAAGACAATACTCTGTAATGAATATCTATGGAGGGTGTGATTCCATCGTACCATTCCTGACTAATCATTTCGCCGTGGCTTGACTCTCCGTCCTACCAAACATGCTCGCTCTTTCAGCCGTGGGGGCTTTATAATGTGACGGTCAATCTCACATTTCGTTGGTAAAAGAGTAGCCCCAAGAGTTGGCGGTGGGTGGTGATGACTAGCTGTCTTCCGTCTAGTCTTTCGCTGCTAAATTAGGGAAGATAGATAATCTCCAGTTAACTAAAGATAAAAAGTTCATGTCTCCCAATATGACATATGTGACTGAAATATTCTAATCCAGTTATTTGTGCATTATCTATATTAATGTTAAATAAAAAGAAACTAACTTTTCTTATTTTACATTTATCAACATTAGGTTCGTGGCAAATAACTTTGACAATTTTATTATCACTACAACGTTCTGTATCTTTAAAATTATGGTAGACTTGTGATGGTGCATGTCCATGTTGTGTTATTCTAGTAGTTAACTTTCTACCAGTCTCCTTTTTAAAAATACTATTATAGTCTGTACATTCTACATTATAAACTCCCTCTTTCCTAACTGCAATTGGTTTAATTACATTTTGTAGTACTGCACTTAACTTTTTCCTCATAAAAAACAAACTAAATCGCAATTTGAAGTTTATACATATTTTCTATTTCGTGCCACATTCTTTTTATCATGGTTAGTAAACCAGATACATATGAAATAACACATTAAGCCAAACCATCTGAATGCAGTTAAAAACTTAAGTACTGATATGTTGACAAAAGTCAACCTATTAGTACTTAAATGTTTTTTAACTGCACTAATAATATAATAATTAATTTTTACCAATACAGTTTCCAGATTATGTATTTCTCATCCAGCTCTTTTTTTCGAACTACAATTTACCTTACCTATAGACAATGAAGTTCTTATAATCCTTATTTGTTGAGGCTTGTGGTGATCAGATGACCAATTCAAGAAAAGATCAGTATGTGTTTTCTTCCTAAATATTTTTGTTTTAAAGGGATGATTAATTTTGCTAACATAACATTAAGAAAAGATAACTCACCTCCCCTTCATTCTAATGAGTAAATTTAATGTTAGGATGTAATGAAATGAAAAATATTAAACTATTCAATCATTTGTCTAGAAACACAGCAAGTAAAAGTATCGTCAACATATCTGGCAAAAAACAACATAGTCCTAAGTTAATCGTACTTTTGATTCTATAATCAAGCACGTTAATGAAATTGTTACCTAGACAATGCTCTAATGAATTACCCACACGTATTCCTCAATCTGATCATAAAACTTATCTAGTTGAAATGCAGTATGGGTGGGCTATTTCTTGATTACTTTTGCTCTCATATGATTGTATGTCGATCACTACTATTTAAGTATGCCTCACCAATGTGGTAAGAACTACACTCTGCTACACAGCTCCAAAACGTGTTCGTTCCTCTCACTGCAATTGCCTCTTAGTTAACTAAGGGAACCTGAAAACTCTTTTTCTTTCCATCTATGGCCTGAGCGAACACCACTGGCGTTAATACAGACTTTAAACTTTCTTTAAGCGAAATTTATTCATTCAAAGCTTGTATAAGAGTATTATGTTATATATTTCTTATGTTACTTGTTCAGTAGATATCTACATCAGTGATATTTCTCCTACTTATTGTTGTGCTATGTTCAGTTAAGTATTAAAAAGTACGTGCTAAAGTCTGTAAAATGAGAAAAAAGCAATCAAAATTTGTTCCCGAACATTCACATTCACTTAAACCTAAAACAAGACACTGACTTAGCTGTCGAAGTTCTAACAATATCTCAAGTTGCTAAGAAAAGTAAATGTCCTTCAAGAATAATAAAAATTACATAAACCAAAGAAATGCATTCCAATATGATTAAAACTAACATTCCAAACACTGTTAAAAAAAACGGGGACTTAGAGATATAAATGATATGCTCTGTTTTTAATGTTAATGTTTTTTTCAAACCTTCCAAACAAAAAATCACAATGGAGTTGAATAATCTAACAGATATGAAAGACAACCTCAAAACACTCAATAACTATAGAAACAAAGACAGTATAATAGAAAAATACAAGGTTAAAATTTTGTAAGTCTCCCGATAATTAAACTATGGGTGATTAAATTCATACACAAAATTCAAAATTATTTTTAATTATAGATAGATTAGGTAAAATTCTATGAACCATTAACTTTTACTACTGGTTCGATTATGAAACTACTGAGTATTCCATCTCTCTTGGTAATTTTAAAGATATTGCTTATTAAGTGTATTTCTACATCAAACTATTAGTCAAATAGTACCGATCATTTCTGAAGAACATCCCAACTTAATTCACTATTTGTGAAAGAGAACTTATCAGTAAAGCGAAGAATTTTCTCGAAAGTATAAATCGAGAAGCTATTTTAAGTGATGATTTATGGAGTTAAATACCCCAAAACATACCAAAATATCAATCTTCAGATGTCTTTAAATTGTCAAATTTATCTTGTCATGTAGTAAAACTTCACGGTTCTCTTTATTGCAATACATCATAGCGTGGAAATTTTCAGACGTCCGCAACAATGATTAATTTTTAAATATAAATCATTTGTCACATTTTTGTTATTTATAGAAAAATAATTCTTAATTGCGTTTCATAACTGCATGAAATAAATAAATAGTACAGAATGTGGAATTGTCTTTCTCCCAAACGATATAACATTCATCTCTTCGAAGTGTATCAAATAATTGAATCATTTATTGCAGAAATTTGGTTCTTTTATTAAATTATAATTCAAAATCCATATAGAAATTTCCTTACTGTCATTAATTAATTGATTATTAATACCCGCGGATAACCCATTACGTAGTTTTGCGCTTAACAACAGAAACATAATAATATCAAACCACTTATAATCTTATTAATTTATATAAATCTATATAAATGTAGTAGTACTGTCTGTTGTATGTCCTTTTAATTACTTCGCAGGGTTTGGATGATCTTCACCAAAATTGGTTTGGAGGTTCATTAGGTCCACGGGGAGATACATACAAATTTTCAGTTTTGCATTTTGTGTTTTGCTGTTTTAATGGGCGTTTTTGCGTTTTCGTGTTTTTTGCCACTACTTAGCTCCCTGTTGATGGATTTTCACCAAATTTCTCATGAAGGTTTGTTGGGACCATGCAGAGACACATACAAATTTGTGTTTTCATATTTTGTGTATTGCAGTTTTTATGAGCGTTTTTGCATCTTTTACAATTATATATATGGGAGAAAAATTTTCATGTCCTAAGATAACCTTTCATTAATCCTGAATTTACATAACTTCTGTCTATGGGACGGATACTCCAGCTAGTCTATTTATATAAATATAATAGTGCTGTCTGCTGTCTGTTATATGTCCATGTAACTACTTCGCAGGGTGTGGATGAATATTCACCAAAATTGGTATGGAAATTCATTAGTCCATGTGGGGGTACATACTTAAATTTCAACTTTAAAGCATACAAACAATGAGAAATAATATGCTCTAGTTTCTATAGCAACATCAAAGTTATTCTCTTACTGAGGTTTGATTTATTTATATGTACAACTTAGTCGAAAAAAGTTTTATCTACGAATATGGTAATAATGATTCATAGTGTACTTTCTCAAATATATTAAGCCAATTCACTGTATGTAGGGCCCAATAACAAAAATTATGTTACCTGCTGTAATTAAACTACGCCATGAAACTGTTATCTTTAAATAAAATCAAAATATTTAAAACGTCATATTTAATTTTTGCAAGCAATTCAGTCAGTTTGTTTACACGCAAAGCTACTTGAATCTTCTTATCTTTAAAAAGTCGTCATTCAGGTTATATGAAGTAGGACTTTGGACGCCGTGCTCGGAATGTTGGCGCCGCTATCTGCAACAAATGTAAGAGGCTTCCTCAGTCAGGTCTATTTATGGGTAATATCCGGTAGATATACGTACAATACCGAAAGTCTTCATGAATATCCCGCTTGCTTCGATAAATAAACACGAAACACGCTTTTCTCTATACCATTAGAGAAACGTGGGGCTCTCTAACGACGAGTACAATGTGAATTTGAGTACAATATTCATTTCTAAGACTAAAACGAGAGCGATAAGCTTTAATTTGCCGTTGGTTACGTAAACAACTTTCTGTTCTATATCATAAGGTATTATCTTCTTGATATTTCATCTCTAATGATATACTATAATTCTTAATCAAGATAAGCTTAAATGTAATGAAATTAATCCTTTAGAAAAGCTCAACGTATTTTGCTAAGACACATGATAAAATTCAAAACATAGAGCAGCTCAATATGTTGTTTTATAATTGTTAAGAAACGCCGAATTATAAAAATGAAAATTACATTCAGATGCAAATCATCTCTATTGGCTCACAAGATACTCGTGATGGAAGAGGTAAAAAGGTAAGCTTACAGTTTTTAGAAATTTCAGTTTAAGAAAATGCCGTAATTTGTGTAACTACATAAAATATTTAACAGTAACAAAGCTCTACTTGTGAGCTGAGAACCTAGTGAGAAAAATTATAAGATAGATGACCAAAATACTCTGTTTGAGACATAAAGTATTCATGAATGGACAGACTAATATGTACTTTTTCAACGTTAAAGACAATATATTTGGAAAATATGTTAGTTATATAAGATATATGTGTTCTATGACTATAAAGCAAGTGTAATGCACCTTGGGACAGTTAATTTCAAATTCAAATAGAGCAAAAAGTCACATATACATACGACTGCCAACACACTTAACTTAAGCTTTTTGTATTTTAAATAAAACCTGCGCTAAAAGGATAAAAGATGAATGAAATCGACTAAATGTGTCTTTATTATGATAATTATTCAATAAATATATTTTTTTTCAATCGCGTGATTAAGTCTATAACGATTTTCGTTTTTGTCATGTATGTTATTGTGTATTGTTTCCATGAAGTGTTTGATATCAAATATAGCTAACTTTTTATATATTTACCATTTTATTGCTGTTGAACAGATGTAAACGATATTTGTCTCGGATTCATCAGAGATCATATTTCTGTGGCACACAGCATAGGTAATTTCTCTTCTTATTGTTTAAAACCTTAGGTTTCAAAATAACTTTCAGGTCAATTTGAGGATAGTAAGAATCACATAAGTTTTCCAACTGTTTTGTGATAAGGGAGCTCTGTCTCCCAAACTATAGAAAGCGGGTTTATAAACGTAGTTTGGGTAAAGTGGGTATCTTAGGTGGCTTCACAAACATATTAGTTAAGAATGAGTAAGTTATTTTCTCCAAGAAATGCTTTGGGTAACCGTTTCGAAAAAGAATGCTTTGAGTGAAAGAAATTTCCTTGTGAAGGGATGAATAAGAAGAGGTAAGGTTGTGATTCTAATGGCTTTATATCTTCTGTCGATCGTAAAAACATAATTACTAGCCTTTTCACTCAATTTGAGAGCTATAAGTTCTCCATGATATAATACTTACGTGTGTGCACTTAAACAATTCTCTAGATATTATAAAATGAATATAATAATAATAGTATTTTTCATAGTGTTAGTGATTGTCTAGGTATCTTAGCTATCGTTACCATCACGTCAACTATTAACATTTTTATGTTCTCTAGCTGTCACTTGTTGTTACAACTCTAGAAACCTAATGTATCTAAATAGTCTGGACTGCAGAAATACTCCATACCATCGTCAGGCATCTCGGAAAGTGAGGAGAGTAAGGTGTTCTACATGTTTTTGCCTTCCATGGGACCAATACGTTGTGTAGTTTGATCTAGTCAAACCATATTTGATAAACTTACATGCAACTGCAATGTACCTGAATCATAATTAGGGTCATCTCTATCAAAATGATATTAATTAATTATCTTATCCTATGTTCTCTTAGAGAGTTCCACGCGTGTGTTTAGGTATAGCTGTTTCATAAAAAAGGTTATACAGATACAGAAGGAAATTTTTTTCAAAGTTTTCATGATATCTAGGAGAAATAAACATGTAAATTAACAACTTTTAGAAAAAACACTTGTGATTAAGTATACGTTAATAAAATTCTGTGTTGATGCAAAATTATCATATTGATGGCTAAGCACAACATATGAGCTATATCTTTTAGGAGTATATTTCAGCAAGACTGCATTTATGAGTGGTAATATAAAAGGTAATAATACGCTCTCTAAATGCATGATGTAATTTCTATTATATATATTGGAGTATAACAAATTAATTCTAGAAATAAACGAAATTGTAACATCAAATTTAAAAATTTAGTTTTGTTTTATTTAATTGCACACTTGAATTATAATTTCTTTTAAAACTAATTGTTGTTTTGTACAATCAATTACTCTTTGTGTTTAAGGGGAACACTCCTGAAGAAGCTTTAAAGCGAAACTTTGAGTATGCAATTAAATAAAAAACACACCTGTTATTGTATCATTTATTTCTAGAATTAAAATGCATAAAGTATTAGAGAACTCTAAACAGCTTCAAAGAGATTTTAATTGAGGGAGTTATAAGCAGAGCACATGATCAAAATAATTTACATAGATGCATAAAATACTAAAGATATGTGAGCTTAACACATCAGTTTACAGCATTTAGAAATATCTGTTAGAGAAATATAGTATAGAAAAAATTACAGCATTCAATTTCCATGCACAGCGTAATTATGGTGGGAAAGCTCAATATGCACATGCATGTCCTTCAGAAAGCCCCACTTACATAGTGGTATGTCTGCGGATTTACAATGCTAGAAACAGGATTTTGATACCCGTGGTGGGCAGAGCACAGCGAGCCCTTTGTATAGCTTTGTGCCTAACTACAAACAAACAAACCTTAAGGAATATCCATCTATTTATGACAGTTTTATTCGTATACAGAATCTGAATACTCTGTTTAAATGTATAAAATGTTCACGATCTCCACATGCAATCTTGCAACTTTCGGGAATTCTGTTTGAGAAAAATAGCAATATTAAACATACATAGGATTCAAATACCCTGTTTAGACGGTCGTGATCACTACTAGGTTTGTTTGTTTGTTTGCTGTTAAGCACATAGTAACACAATGGGCAACCTGTGCCGTACCCTCCACGCGTATCGAAACCCAATTTTTAGCATTATAAGCTCACAGACTTGTTGCTGGAGCACTGGAGGGCGTCATTACTAGGGGAGCTCAACATAGAAATTTACATTTTTATTGGATTTTTGAGTAGTAATGCAAATTCATTTAGGTGTGTGAATAATATTTTGACATCGTGCCTAACTGTTTAATGGTTATTTTACAGATTTTTTTATTTTCACCAAAGGTAAAATTGGAAACATCAAAAACATCCTAAATATTATATACACCATTATAAGAGGCCCAACTGTATTTCTTTAGTTTGCAAACCCAAGCTGTGCTGATGAGATTTGTATTGGCGAGACTACAGTCCACAGCAGAGGATACGGCGAATCAAAACATTTTTTAGGCTTTTACGTCACAAATTATATTTTCAATTTTACGTTTGATGACAAAAAAAAAAAGAGAGAAAACAGAAACTTACAACTTTTAGCAATTTCTATTTGACACGATGAAGTTTTACCTGGTTACATGAAGCAATCAATATCTCAAATCACAACTGATAGGGTTAAAAAAACGAAAATTCTAGTAAGATGGATGAATAAAGGAATATGAGATGTGTATTAGTATATGTTGTACATGAGAGCTTAAAATTCCTTTTTAAGAAAAATAATAATTATATTCAGATATATAATCAAAATAATCTGTTTAGGTGCATAAAATGCTCGCAATAAAAGAAATTATTAAAAGGCTCAGCCTTTCATAATTTCATAATAACAAATGTAGCCGGATATAGGATCAAAATAATCTGTTCAGAGGCAGAAAATGTTAATGCACGCTAGGAGAGAGCTAAACGTTTTCAGCCTTTGGTTTTAAAAAAATAGCAATGATAACTACAGAAGGAAAATAATTGGTTCAATAACATAAAGTAATTATTACTAGAGGAGAGCTTAACAAGCCAATTTACAACTTTTAGGAAGTTTATCCAGATAAATGATATAAATACTGTGCACCACAGCTCATCATTTAAGCTTATTATCTTTAGGAGATCATGTTTCAGAAAAATGATAATTATAGACCCATACTAGATTAAAATAACCCGTTTAGAAGTATAAAATACGCCTGTGTCACGAGATATCTCAGAATGTAAGTTTTCAACTTACAGTATATATTTTATAATGATAACAATTATAGTAGTTAGAGCTCCAAATTACCTTGTTTACATCCATAAAATATCTATGACAGACAGATGAAAATTTAAATATCATGAATTCTTCTATATTTGATAAAATCTTTATATGTTTTTATTCAGCTTTATTGAAATGTGATTTTAGACTTTTAAACTTTTAGATTTTTTGTGGGCAATGAAAACAGTATTGCTATCTGTCAGTCTTTTTAAAACATAATTATATTTTCTCGGTGTCAGTTTTTATTTTCTTCAATAAATGTTATTATATCTAATGAGAATTGAATTTTTTTGAATAAAATTTATAAATATTTTCCTAACATCAAAGTTTTTATTACTTTTGCCTTTCTATTATGTTTGAAAAATAAACCTTAAGTAAAAATTACTGACATGAAAAGTAAACAATGATTGTTGTTCATATACTTTAACCAAAAGCTGTATTCTTCTCTTTAAAGTAATTCATATTATAACATGAACCAAAGAATTAGGTTATTCTCGTTTGATGACTAACGCATTTTACTGGATACTCGCCATACAGTTTTATAGAGTCAGTAAAAAAGAAAAGGGTGTAAAGGTTTAATTTTTTAATACCAGTGTTTTTTTTTCTTGTCTTTAAAGACATTGTTAGAAAATTTCGTTTTTTAAGATTTAATATAGTTTATAGAACATCCAAAATGATACATTATAAATACCATTTATCAATAAAAAGTAGTATATTTCCAGTTATATTAGTGAATAGAAGAAAAATCAATATAGTTCTACTTTTAGTGATGGAAAGTAGAGACTATGTAATTTAGTTCCAGTTTATTAGTGATGACAAAGAGAAAAGAAGCAATTTATTTCCTGTTGTATTAGTTAAGAGGCAAATAGAAAAAGAAGCCCCAGTCTGTGAATAAGCAATCTCTCTTTTATGCATAGGCTTTGCTCATAATTGGCATTTTCTAAGATTTTGGCCTAGCATGGCCAGGCGGTTAGGATGCTCGACTCACAATCTGCGGGGTTTGAATCCCCTTCACCGAACATGCTCGCCCTTTCAGCCGCGGGGACGTTCTAATGTGATGGTTCCACTATTCGTTGATAAAAGAGTAGCCCAAGAGATGGCGATAGATGGTGAAGACTAGCTGATTTCCCTCTAGTCTTTCACTGCTAAATTAGGGATGGCTAGTGGAGATAG